AGATGGGCAGTAACGCGTGTAATCTGATTACTTTTTTTCAAGTAACCAGTAAAGTTCCTATAATTCCTATAATTTATAATCTTTATAATCTCTTCTGCTATTTGCACATTCTTTACTGTAAATTTCTAAGTTAATTTGTAAATTCTGTAGTAACCTGTAAATTGTAAATATTGTAAAACTTTTCTTCTGTCATTTAATGGTCGGGCATTGTACAGCTACAAGCATTTCACCCCCATGTCATACTGTGTATGGTTGTGTGTGTGACAAATAAAATTTGAATTTGAAGTAAGGGATTATTATTGCAAAAAAGTAATTAGATTACTGTTACTTTCCTGTAAGCACGCTGCGTCACTGCATTACTAAACCGTGATTTTGTTTGGGAGAGTGTCTCATGACAATGACGTGTGAGCGTGCAACAGTAATGGTCATATTCGGATCAACAATGGATAATTGATAATTGATAAGTGCGGGAGACAGTATGACCGTGCAGCGTTTAAAGAGTGGAAGTACTCACATTACTTGAGTTCTGTAAAAAGTGACAAAACATTAGCGTCCACTGTGCAGTCAGAGACTGTTGCATATAACTTATTTTTGTTTGATGCAATGAGCATAAAGTTAAAACATTAAAACTCATAAAACAAGTTTTATAAAGAGATTTTTTAATTTAATTACATTTTATATGATGAAATATGCAGAAAAAATAGAATTGGGCTGAAAGGTCTACTGCTTCATTACGTACTCGGGTTGTGCATCATGTTTTTAAAAAGTAACTAAGTAATAAAGTAACTAATTACTTTTGAAAATAAGTAATCAGTAAAGTAACAGGATTACTTTTTTGGAGAAGTAATCAGTAATGAGTAACTAATTACGATTTTCAAGTAACTTGACCAACACTGCTCCTGAATCATCTTTGCTTTGTGGCAGGGCGCGTTAAACTGCTGCAAGAGACCACAGCCGTCAAGGTGTGCGGTTACCATGACAGCGTGTACATGGTCTGCAACAAAGCTCAGCTGGTGATACGTGCCGAAGAAAGATCCATATGGATGGCAGGACCCAAGGTTTCAGAGCACAAACATTCCCTGACGCTGCCTCGTCTCCTTCCCATAGTGCCTCCTGGTGGCAGGTGTTTCCCAGGTAAGCGGCGCACAAGCACCTGACCAATCGCGTGATGTAATGGAAAACGTGAGTCATCAGACTAAGGCACCGCCTACTGTTGCTCCGTAATCCAGTTCTGATGCCCACGTGACCATTTCTCGTGCCTCTAGTGTGGTCAGCAGCTATGCAGACCCACACACTGTGATGTTCTGAGTCTTCTCTGTGGATCCTCAGACACTCATGACCTGGTCACTGGCTCACCACTCGTTCCTTCCTTGGACCACTCTGCCCGCCCCACAGGTGCTGCAGGTTTTCGACGCTCTGACCCATCTATCCATCACAGTTTGGTCAAATCGCTCAGATCCTCACACTTTTCCTCACCTGCTCCCCAATGTCTCCCACCCACTAACAGGTGCTATGATGAAGAGATAAATGATGTATTCACTTCCCCTATCAGTGCTCATTATGTCACGCCTGATCCGTGCGTATATATTAATGCAGATTTAGAACAAGGGCATGAACTCATCGTCAGCCTTGTAACATATAAAGAAAAGTACATTATCTTGAAATGTGTGCGTAACCTTCTCCGTGCTCCATTCACCTTTTTACAAATGTTTGCAGTGCAGATGAAAAGTAATTGAGTCCAGCGATCCTCAGCCTGAGGGAGCAGAGGACTTCCTGTTTCCTTTTGAAATGTTTTTTACTCAATAACTGTCAGATTCACATGAAAGTCCGATTTTTCTCAAACTGCCTGAAGCCAAGTGTATAGAAACCTTAAAAAAACCTCCTATATTTACACTTTTCTATTGTTAACTTACTGCTCCATGACATTGTGTTTTTTGGGAGACACATGCATTTCAGATAAACTTTGTTTTAAAAGAGAGATGAACTAACCATCAGCACGAATCCTGCGGGGAATCAGCTTTTGTTGTTGAACTAAAGTTTAATTACACATTTTGTTGGGATTTTTAACATTTCTGAAACCATGCGTCATAAAATGAAAAAGGACAGTCTCTCGTGGAAACTTCACCAAAAAGTTGGGGTGTGGTTGTTGGCAGTTAGCGGCTGTCGCTAGCAGAAATAGGTTAAAAGAGGGTGATGCATCAAATGCATGCTTGTGATTGCTTTGGTTGCTAGCAGATTGCTGCAGTTGCATTAGCTTGCATGAAAGATGGCAACTTGTCTGCAAGTACAAGCCTACTATTTTTGCAGGAGTCACTGACTGGACACAGGTGCCAACAACCTCCAGTTACCGGTTGAAAAATACTCTTTCCCCTGGCAGCCGGTGGTTGCAGCTGCCAACACGCAGCAGTCTACAGCCCGGCTCAGGGCTTGTGTGATCGGAGCTTGCAGAAAAAGGCACGTCATTAACTGTATCTGTAATTCCAGTGTAAAAACTGGGGATATTTCCCATAAAATCAATGGACAGTTAGCTACTGGTACACTGGCAAAAGTCAATGCTCATTCTTATCAAGACTATTATTAAAAATTATACTGAAATATGAACATGTGTTGCTAGTGAAGGAAATTAGCCAGGACTTTGCCTTTGTTTGAGAATTTCTAATTCAGCTTGTGGAGTTGCTTGCGTGTCAGGGAGGATCCAATGACCACTGCACTGATTTAAACAACGCCTTTTTATTTTGGCATCTTTGAAAACTACTCCATGAACGGCAGTTTCAGATTCAAAATGAAGAAAAATATAAATACTCAGGATGGATGTTAACCTCAGTGCGTAGCCAGAGACAGAAGTACAGAGCGCACAGCATAAACACAGGGCTGGAAGAACTGCTTCCAGAGCAACACCGCCCGGTCAATCACAGAGATCGATCAGCAACAGCCCGCTGGATGAGATGAGCGATGGCTAATGAGTAATTATTTACTTTCTTAAGTCCTTTTACTGTGAGTTAACAACACCAGCTGCTGTTCCTTTCTTTTTCTTTTTGGGTATGCCCGATCAAAACACTTCTCCTCAGCCCTGTGCCACATCCCGGTCTCTGCTTTCTGTTTCTTTGTACTTCTCTGAGCGTCGTTCAGTACGTTCTGTGGAGCAGAAGAACCAAAACAAAACAAAAGCTCACTCGTAGTTGCACAGATTTACACACGGCACACTTTGAGAGAATGCAAAGACCTCGGGCCCAACAGAACGACAACAACAACGGCAACAAAACCAAATGAAAGGCAGGTCTGTGTGTGAGTGGAACATCTGAGCTCAGCAGGAGAGACGGGCATAGGAAGAAGGCAGAAAAACAAAACCAGCTTGTTCTCCACAGGCGAACATTGTATACATTTCTGTACATGCTAACTCAGTGGACATCCTCTAACACTGTTATTTTTTTTGCCCTTTTTGGTATAAAAACACATACTGATGTACAATATAAAAAGAGATTTTCCTTTTTGTAAAAGAGCAGTGTTTCTCTTCTGTCAGTGTGAATCATCTAATGCTGCAGCGACAAGGTTACATTATTTACATATACAACCGTATAAAAAAGAAGAATTCCTCCTGTGTACATGTAGTCAAAAAACAAATACATCAGTTAGGTTCAGTTTTAGTGGTGAAATATTTGTGAAGGTCCTTTAATATACAGCGACCGAGAAGCTGGAGACAGCAGGAAGGTTGGTACACCCGACTCTGGAAAAGGATGTGACACACGCAACAACTGAGACATGAATAAAATAAATGCTGCGCACTACTGTGACTGCGTTTAATAGGAAATGTCGAGTTCCTTTTCGGTGCATCGATGAAAGATCTTCACAACTTTGCACTTCCAGTTATTGCATCTTAAAATGTGCTTTAAGATGTAAAATGCCTCGATTTCTGCCACATTTACACATCACAGGTGAGCGATGTTTTCATACCACCGGCCGGCTGCCCGACCCAAACGGAAACAGAAACCGAGGGGGAACTCAACGCATCGTCAGTGAATGCTTTTGCTGATGTATTACTACAGCCTTGCAGATATGGTAATTAGGCAACCTTCCATACTTGCTGCCGCAGATTTAATTCTGCAGCCAGACATCAGCCAGACAATATTGATACTGCACAGTTCTGCAAGACTTGGTGGAAAACACTTTATGTTAAATTGAAGATATTCTAGATAGCTTTCGACAATACCTGTGCAGTATCGTAGGATGGTTTTGGGAATTTCCTTCTGATCTCAAAACACTACATTGAACTGACAATGTCAAGACACAAAGACCGAGTGATACACACGAGATGTCCTTTGGTGCCAGCGGCAAAAGTGAGCCTGGTCTAACCCACAGACAGTATGAAAGATTGGCACACCAACTGGATCTGAAAAGCAAAGTCACCCCAGAAATAGGGCTGTGCGATATGACCAAAATCTCATATCCCGATATAAGACATCTATCGTTGATATAAATCACAAAAATGTAACATTTTCTGAAAATTCTGTGAATCTCGGGCAGCTCGACTTGCGTGAAGTGTTTCCAGCTGTCATGTAGCTGGAGTCGAGTGTTTTAACAGATGCACGAAACGATACATTTTTAGACATAAGTTGAAACGGCCGCCGTTTTCTTTGTGAGTATTTATTACACGGCGTGCTGCGGGGAAAAGCCTGTTCTAACGTTTGAGTCTAAGGTTTATTTTTTAGCTCCTGACGGCTCTTTTTTGCTTCTCATCCGTAAATACTCTGCATCTTTCACGTGTTTCAGTTTATTTTGAAAAGTCTCAACAGGATCTTGAGCTTTATTGTGAAAGGTTTATGTGGAAAATAAACAAGCGGACACACAAGGGTTTTACCGTCGTTGTTGCTAACGACAACGCATAAAAACAGGCGCTTGTCCGTCCGTAGTGTGGTTATATTAAATATAAGAGAAAGAGAGAACTTTAAGAAATTAATAAAGCCACTACAGTGACATCAAAACCATGAAAAAATATTGCCGTAAACAGTTTATTTTGCGACACCACGAAACAAACGATAGCGTAAAATGAAACGATGTTTTTATATCGTCATCCGATATATATCGTTATATCGAACAGCCCTACCCAGAAATGCCTGAAACCTGCATTGCTTTTAATGGCCACCAGGGGGCGATACTTCTAGAACAACAAGATGGTGAAAACAATCAAATTAAAGCTTCACAGACTTCACTAACCACTGGGCAGTCATGAAGGTTCAATTTTGATGCCAACCATAAAAATTCAAAATAAATTTAGATTCTGGTTGATCATCGCCTCCAAGATCGTCCTCTGAAAATCCGCATGAGCATTTGGATGGATGACATTTGATGACCTCTCCTGCAGCTTTAATGATGAGTTTTGACAACCATTAGAATAGATCCAAGCTACTCTTTCCAAGGGTAGCTGCTAAACCAAACACCCCCTTGTGTATTTCTCTTGGACGCCAGCACTTGTGACAAAATGGCAGTACGTGACTGGATATTTTTGAGCTAGTGGTTCAAGATAAGCAGTGGAAATCAAAGACACTGGCCAATTAAACTCCAAAGGATCACGTTACACGTTTTAACCTCAGATTTTGAGCATGTAAAGCAACACGAACTTAAAGTGATACATGAAAAAAACAAAGCCGGCACTTCCTTTTGCAGAGTCAGGTGTTGACAGCAGGGGGCGCTACAGTCAAATATGGAACAAAGGTCTTTGCATTCGCACACAGGGAAAGATTTGTGATGAAACACAACTGAAATCAGAGATCATAATACTCACTGATGCCAAAGAAAGTCTGGGTGATGTGCTTTTTCTTGCCACAAGTGCATCGACGTAAGGCACAGGCACAGTTCCCCTCTTTCAACAGAGTGGCTCGCTTTAGTTTTTTTTGTGTATTTTTATTTTTTTTTATCTTTTTTTGTCCTTTTTAAAAAAATGTCCCAGTGCAAGAAACAAGTAGGGTGACCACCGGCGAGGTTCGAGCAGCTCACGTTGGATGTTTGTGTTTTTATATGCGAGGTTTGGAAATATCAAAGCTGTTGCTGTTTTTCGTCATTTTCTTCAGTGTTAGGACGACAGGAGGGAAGCCGATGCTCTCTTTTCAGGGGTCAGAATTTATGCAGGCAACAACAACAGTTAGCATACAATCAATACATGAGATTAAATAAAATATCCACAGAATTCAAAGTTAACACAGTTTGCTTTAAATGTTTAAAGATTTCGAACAGATCAATGCTTCAGCCTTTGGTGCCTTGTTCATGTCATATCACGAGGAATACAAGAGTTAAGATTAAAAGATTAGGCCGACAAAGTGAGTCTAGACTGGAGATCTGAACCAGAGACCTTCTAACACAATCTAAAACTGCAACTCTCCAACGTTAATGGGGCACGTTCAAGTGATCATCCGGAGTGAAATGGGACCCTGTGGGAGAGAAGAGGAATAAAAAGATCAGAATTCCAACTTTAGAGAACAAAAGTTGGAATTTTGATCATTTTTCTTCTGACAGTTTTAAATTTGCTTTGCCTTATAACACAAAGCGCTTTTAGGTGACTCTTATTGTGGTTTGGTGCTATATAAATAAAAGCCACCCCCAACCACCACACCCATGTGGAAAACATGAACGTTCCTGATGTGGTTTCATTATGCTTTGAATGTTAAGGGAATGATTTCCGTGAGAAAAACGTAACCACGGGATCAGCGTGCTATGGCTTTACCGTTCAGGATCACCTCATACAAGCATGAAGCCAACACACTAACATGTTCTTCCACTTGAAACATCGCTCTTTGACATATTTTAGGATGTCCAGATGCACAATTATTTTAACTGTTTAGCTCCATTCCCTTCAACTGAAATTTGATAATAATTCCTCTTTTTTGGCTCGCTTAGATTGACTCTGATTTTTACACAGACACTGACGGAGACTAGTGTAACTACACTGGCAGTTGATGGTTGCTGGACTGCAGGTGACCATATTGTGGCGTACTTTCTAGACTCGCTGATCTCAAGGTAAAGTTAACTACATTACACAAGAGAAAGCAACTTCAGGGTCGCGAGAAAAACTCAGAATTCTGAGATAATAAACGGGATGTGAAGGAATCCCTTCACATCCTGTTGAAGGACAAAACTTTAGATATTTAATAAAAATTCTGCAAATTCAAAGAATATGAAAAGATTTGCTTTAGAAGAAAACAAACTGGGCACTTTGCAGAACATGCAGTTTGTTTCTTTGAAGCCAAATATCTTTTGGAAATGAACAGAAGCCCAGCTGAGTAAAGGCAATATGATATGAACATGGCTTCACAGTCTGATAAGCATAGCAACTTGCACACGGTCTTACTGTCACAATTTAGCATCAACATATCCCCACAAAATCAAACAAACTCATAAAGGAACTGTGACAGAGGCACGCTGTAAATGCTGTTTGCTTAAAATTGAACTTAAAAAGTTTTGAAAGTCTTTGCGTTCGTTTTATGTCCCGATCGAACTCTAGGAACATTCACCATCAGTAGTTCTCAAACTTTCTTTCAAAGGCTGAAAAATGTTAGGATCCCACAGTTGTTGGATGCATATACGTGTATTTGTTTTATATCAAACATCAAAAATAAAGAGAGGATCCAAGTGGAATCTTTGTGAAACAAAGGTCTTTCCAGGCCGTCCTTCCCTTCAAAAATCATTTCTCTAAATTAGCGCCCACCCTCTAGTTTGAGAACCACTGGTGTGAAGTTTAAAACCTCAACTGAAGCAAGCTACAGGGAAGGAAAGAGAAGATGGAGGCAGAGGAAAAAAGGAGGTGATCACCCTAGTGATTCTCGTACTGAAATGCTCTTGACAGAGAAAGGGAACACGTCAGCGTCTCTTTCAGTAACTCTCTGGAGATCCTCCTTTTAGTTTCTACCAGGAGGCTTCTACAAGCAAACAATGTGTGTGTGTGTGTGTCTGTGTGTGTGTACCATGTTGACGTGTTAAAATATGTGTGGTGTGATTACAGATCTCTGCGTATGACTGTTAGGATCACACAGATATATTACAAATACTGGCCTTTTGCTAAATAGAGTCAGTTTATTCCCAATGTGACGGAGACCTCAGCTGTATTAAAAAAACGTTTTCTTTGTTTCTTTTTGTTCTTGTAATGATCTCTATGTGTGAAGAGCTTAGCGGAGACTTTTAGGTTCTCATGATGATCGACTTCAACTCAGGAAATTAAGGGAAAGAAAAAGGTTGCATTAAACTGGAACATATCAGGAGCTTAAAACATATCATTTGGGCCTAGACATCAGTCTGTGATTGTAAAGTGTTTCCATCAGTGTGTCTGTGTAAGTACAGTATCTATGATTGTTTGTCCATCAGCTCTGGCAGTCTTTGTATTTCTGTACGTGTTATCTGTGAATCAGTCCTAAAGGCAGGCGATATGTGTACATCTGTCTGTTTAGCCCGTCTCTCTTTCAGGATGCGTTTGTTTATTTTTGTACGTATGAGTCCTAGAGGCAGACGTTGTTGCTGATCTGGCAGGTGGATCCGGTGCCAGCCTGGGACAGGAAGAGCCTCCCGTTGGGGCAAACGCAAACCTCGTAGACAGTCTGCCTGGTCCCAGAGGACGAGGAGCTGGTGGAGGCCTTCCCCTCCGGCAGCTGCAACAGCCGAATCCTCTGAGCATCCAGCGAGATCTGCCGTAGAGGGAGAAGAGCAAACTGGTGAGATTAGGGAAAGTAAAGAAGAGAAATGAAATGGGTAGAGATGTAGAAACAAAGCATGAAAAGCAGATGGTTGAAAAGTCTGGAAAAGACTGCTGCAAAAATTAGTTTGCTTGCATCCACATGTTGAGGTACATAGTGCTGAAATTTGAAATTATAGGTTGGTGAGGTGGCAGAGTTCAGCTCAGCACAGTCCCCATCACAGCGAGAAGGTTCTGGATTTTGGACTGTTGAAGCCCAGAGAGAAATCATGCAGGCACATGGAGAACATGCAGAAACGTGCATGTCAGAATAACCAGTTACTCTAAATCGGTCAGCTGTGATAGTCGGCAGCAGGCTCTGTATGTTAGACCTGCGATAGATGTCACAGCTGGTATAGATTCAACACCCCCCCCAAACTACCTTCAGTTAGATTAGTAGTTAAGAAGAAAGATGGATTTATGGGCAAATCGGTGCAAAGACCCATCTGAGTTAGCTAACCCAGTTAGCTGAATTAGCTTTGTTTTTGTGTCTGTCTGTGAAAGACTGTTTTTATGAATGTAAAGCAAGGTGACTAAATGCTGCCCTGGTAAATGAGGTATTAATATTTTATTAAGACACAATGCAGTTAACTGTTGGTTCTGAGATGTCACACAGTCACCCACCACTCGTTGAAGCTAGCTGTGACTGAAAGTTGTAAAACAGCAATGGGAATGCTAGCCTTGCTAACCAGGACTGTTCTGTAGAGCTAAATAAAGACTGGCTGTATCGTGGTTGTGTACGTACATACTCGTGAGCAAAGAAGGCTACTTCTGCTAGCACAGCTAATGTTAGCTGCATTAAGTAAACATGCTATTCGTGGGGAGAAATTGTCCATTTTATTATTCTCAGACTATTTTCTGACTGTTTTCTTACTTTTAGATGACTCAATATTCTGATTTCTTCCTCCCGCTTAATCAAATATTAATCAGTTGCCAGGAGCATCCACACTAAACACTTAGAGATAAGAGTCTTAGTTGTCTCAGAGAGACGTCGGCGGGGGTGGAGGTTCAGCTGCCTTTCTGCTTTGCACTTAATTTGGGTGACTTTTTATTTTCATCTTCTCCTGATTGTTAGACGTAGGCACTACAGACTGTGTTTGCGTTTAAGAAACTGGTTTTTGGGGTTAAAACGGGTCACAGCAGTAACCCTGCTCATTGGTAAATGATGACTCAGGAGTGACAGACTAACCTGATGCATCAGTGCAGTGACACCTTATTCAATTTAGATTCAATTCACTTTTATTTACACAGTGTCAAATCCCACAGTTATCACCTCAAGGTGCTTTATATTGGTAAAGACTCTACAATGACACAGAGAAAACCCAAACAACCCCTCTGAGTAAGCACTTGGTGACAGTAGGAAGGAAAAACTCCCTTTTAACAGGAAGAAACAGAACCAGGCTCAGGGAAACACTGACCTCTGCTGTGACTTATTGTGGGTTAGAGAAGGAAGAATTCTGACACTAATTTCCACCCCAGAGTTCCTGGGATGTAATTCCTGCTTGTTTTCTTAATTTTCATTTTCATGTCAATGATACTTGGCATTTTCACTGCTTTAGTTGCTGGTTTTCATTTTAACCTGAATAATCTTCTACATATTTTATGGACACAACTCATCATAGTTTATCATCATTACTGTTTGAAACAGAAAATGTCTCCCGTTTCAAGGGAGAAAGAAACCAGATAATTCATCCTATAAATTAAAAAGTTGCACTGATGCAAACTCATTAACATAATTTGCATAACGTTATGAGCAGAATCAACTTGCTGAGATTTTCTGACTTGTATGATTGAGGATGGATGAGTGAAAAATAGGTGTAAATCTTATACATATACGTTGTTGGTATATACCAACAACAAGAACCTTTGTGATCATCTGACCTGCAGACACGCAGAACTGTTTTCTAAACCTCTTAAACTCTGTTTCCAGCGTTTCTCAGCTTTGACAAATTTACTTTTACTCTTCATCTTTATCTTTTCTCCTCCTTCAGGGATTAAAACTGATGACATTTTGGTAAAAGGCATGCCTCTGCAGTATCCTGTAGGACAACACCGCCTCAATCTAGAGAGATTTCTGCACAGATGATGCCAGGCAGGAGCAATCTCAGTGACTTTTATCATAGATATGACTCTACTGTGCAGCGATGCTGTTAACTTCAAATCCAACACATGACCTTTACAATTCATTCCACTCATGTCCACTGAAAGGGCTGGAAAACACTGGGAAATGTGGGAGGAAAAATCTCAAGTCAGAAAAACTGGATAGATGCTGCAGTTGAGTATCCAGGTCACTTAACATTCTATGCAACCAACGAAGGGGAGAGCGAAGGTGTCAGGAGTTTCAGACACTATTTATGTGAGTCAGAAGTCCTGAGAAGGAAAATAAAAGCCAAGGAGAACGAGTGAATGATTTACTTTGAGGGCAGCTAAGAGTGACAAGAGAAGAAGAGCGATTCAGTTTAGCTGAGGACTGGCTGAGTTCAGGAGAGAAGAGAAAGATGACTTCTTGGTGACCAAATGTGGTTGTGATTAACATGCTAAACATAGCAAATACAGTACAGTGTTGTAGTCTTATACCACCCATCATTTTTTTGTATTTTGCTATTGTATTTTGAGTCATCTAAAATCCAGATGAACAGAGTTTTATTTTGGGATATTTTCAAGTATTTTGTTGGCAGAGAGTCCCAAACAGGGTAAATAAAAAGCAAAAAAGCCCTCTACAAGTTTACAGTCGGCTCATTCAAAAGTTATTCCTCTCGTCTCCTGAGCAATAAAAGGAGAGCAAAACCTAAGAAAAGTTGTTCTGCAAGCCGCTCCATAAACACATTAACCCATAACTCATTTTACTCCCCTCATTGATTGGAACAAACCATCTCTCTCGGTCTGCACAGCCACAAACCACCGCTGCATGAATCCCCTCCTCCCCCCATCCTCCCGTCCTCCCGGGGCTCGTATGAGGCTGGTGTTGCACCGGCTGCGGACAGGAGGAGCTCTCCAGCCATAAAAAGGTAAAGGAGCCATTACGGTGCACCTCGGGGAGGCATTGCCATCAAATGACCTGGAACACTTTTAAAGCAGAGTCTCAGCTGACTTCCTCAGACAGCTGCTGTTGAACAAATCTTTCACCACGAGGGGCAGACGGTGTGAGACACTCCAGAACCTGTGTGTAAATGTGTGTGTGGGCGGCGGGATAAATTCGTGTGTCTGTGTGCTTGTGATGGGCAACAGTACAAACAGGTTGGGCAGGTAAAGGTGAGGTGAGGTCAAGGTATCAGTTCGGTTTTATTTCATGTCTCCAGAGGTTTTCTGTTGCTTCCTGCAGCTTGGAGGGAAAAGACTCCTGTAGGAATGCAAATGTTCTCTGCATGAGCTATATTATCACTTACCCTTTTTCCCCGATGCTGACTTCTGTGGCTTTTTTAGCCCTCAACACACCGCATATTACTTCCATTTAGCAGGGTGGAACGACCACCCTGCACATGGTGATAGGTACCTGCTGTTAGGAGGAAGACATCACCTAATGGCTAAGCTAATATTTCTTTAATGGTTGTTATCAGTCCTGTATAATGCATACATCTGCAGTTTTTATTATCTTTGTCTGATGTGCATATTTGTGAAGATATGATGGTAAATCCATTCAACTGAGCCACGCACTATATGAGCAAAAACATCAGGCCACATCTACACTAGCTTTTCCAAAAGCCGTGCCCCTACTGCAGCTTCCACTCTTCTGTGAAGAATTTCTACATGATTTTGAAGCGTGCCTGTGGGAATTTTTGTCAGTTCATCCAGAAAAGCTTTTGTGAGGTCAGACACCGGATGTTGTATGTGGAGCCCAGGCTTGCCATTTCCATTGTAGTTCATCCCAAAGGTGGTTGATGGGTTTGAAGTCAGGGCTCTACACGTTTTTCCACACCAAAATCATCCAGCCATGCTTTTACGGACCTTGCTGTGGCATCCTATTACAGTACCATGCACGAATTCATTGAGCGCTTTACAACAAGACATTCTTTGGGAAATGTTTGCAAAGGCAGACTGCATGGCTAGGCGCTCGATTTTATACACCCATGTCAATGGAACTGGGAAGTGAAAAAATATGTGGCCTAATACTTTTGTCCACGTATCTCATGATGGTAAAGAGAGAACCCTGGTTCCACAAATGAACACTTTTAGGATGGGCTAAGACCGACATTTACTCACGTGTGATGTGTAATAAATTACTTTTTGGAGTAACGACACCAACACTTAACAAACACCCACATTTGTTGAGTTCATAGATTCGACAAGGTAATGTTTCTTTTTGTAAATGTATGTACAGTTATGGTTACAGACTCTTGTGCATCCTAACTTAGCTTCTAGTTTGTTTCTCTGAATTCTGTCAGAGAGAAAACAGCTTCCGAGGGTCTCGTGATGAAAATGTTTAAATGCATCTCCGCTGGCTTCACAACAGTTTGTGCTTGCGTGTGATGACTTTCTTGTGTAACTGCCAGCGTCTTCCTTGCCCGTCTCAGACAGACTGCGTGGCCTTTCTTGCTAACTGGTGCGGGCTGTGATGTAAATCTGCACTGGTCTGTCTCACCTTGGTGGATAACCAACAGTGAGGCTAACAGAGAGTCAATTAAGGTTGAACTATGACAGCACCGGTGTTCAGCTCACACTTGATGCAGCGTCCTTGTAATTAAACATGCCAGCAGCTACACGTGTGAAGTGCAGCCTGTCCAGACGGCTGTAACAAGGACGCCTTAAGTCAATGCGCATGTGCGCTCGGGAATTACGGGTCGTTCTTTGCGTGCTTTAAAAAAATGCTTCGAGAAGAGTGTGCACGACTCTATTTCATTATCTGCCTGTGTGGTCTGTGGGTGTCTAATAGCCAAAACCTTTCTGTAATTGCAGTGGCGGCGCCTGAGGAGAGAGGGGGAGCGTGAATGTGTGTTAGACAGAGGTTTGACAAATGGACATTTGCAACCCTAATGGAGTGTGAGAACGCGATTCTAATTATATGCACTGCCCACCGTTAGTCCAACAGCCTCATTTCTGACCACACATCCATGAAATCTGTGAGAAGACGCGGCAGCAGCATGGCCGCTGCGGTTGCATTTAATTGGACTAAACTAGATTCAAGGGCACCTTCCTGAGACCGCCTCCCGCCCTCCCTCTCTGTGTCCATCTCATATCAGCAGTCTGTCTTAATGTACGAAACTGTTTTTGTGGGAAACTTTTAAACACTTTCTTCTTCCTAATCCTCCTCCGCTGATTTTAGCAGATTTGACATGACACGACTGGTGCAACCTAAGGAGGGAAATCCTTTTATCAGCGCAGCCGGCCGTGATGAATGTGAAGACTGATGTGTGTAACGAATCAGGGGATGGTTGGGGGAATTTAGGAGCAGGAAGGAAAGGATGAAAGAAGGAAGGAAGCAGCATGAGTGGATGAACGAATTTGGAGGGTGGGGGGGGGTAAACAAGCAAAGTTTACGACAGAAAGAGGGCAGAGAAAGGAGGAAGGAAGGACGGAAAACTGGAAAGATGGATGGAAATGGAAGCTAGCAGCACATAGGAGACACTGTGGGGAAGTAATTAGTAAAAGGAGGATGAGAGAGTATAAAACAGAACACCAATCATCTTATGTTCTCTTTTTTCCGCGAGGCTCTTACAGATCCTGGTGCACGGCCAGCATGTGGGAAATTGCCACCAGCCATTATGAGAACGCCGGCCCATGTTGGCGAAGGAAGCCAGCTATTGTTTGGATCGATGTTTGCTAAAAATAAGTTTGGACAGGAGAAAATGCTGAATTGAGATGGATCCCCATCAGCCAGCATGGCTGCAGGACAAGAAAAGTTAATTTGTTAACTTGTTGTCGGTGCGCAGAGCGAGAGCTTTGTGCAAAAACCACTTTTAGAGTAACAGGACTCAAAGACAGGAAGAAGTTTTTACCTCAAACCACTCATTGTGTGCTTGATGGCGAACAGTGCAGGCACAGATTTTTAAAAGAGAGGAAGTTAGCCTGTTTGCCCTTGTGTATCTATGTGAATCTATGTAGCGCTATAATGTAGCCTGCACAGGTTGCAGCATTCATACTGTGTCAATGGCAATGTGATGCTAATGCAGTCAGCCCCACCCACGTGCATGTTAATCAGAAAAGGCAACCAATCAGCAGAGAGCTGGCTATAAATGAAAGGAGGTTTTGATCTGAGGAGAGCACATGTATGAATACGTTTACTGTATTATCTTGAATTGTAAATAATGCAAGTCTACCAGCATCTAAGAGGGTAACATGGAGCTGAAAGTGAAAATAATCGATTTTTTTCTTTCCTCTAGTCCTTAAAAAGAGACGCCGTGTCTCAGATCGACGATGACCTGAAGGCTCAGTATAAGAAAATAAAGAATATTTATGATTCGCTGGGATTTTTTTAGCTAATTGAAACTGTGTTGGAATACATTCATACATACAGTCACTTCTGCTGGCACCATTTTAATGAGGTTAGTATGGGAAGCTTCAAACTAGCCTGCTGGCCCTGTTTGGTGGAGTTCGTTAAAGTCGATTAGAAATGAATGAACAAAACTCCAAATGAGACAAATAACACTCATTAAAAAAACTGTCATTTTCATAACGAAGAGAGTGATTAATCAATTATTCTTTTAATCGCTGAAGGCTACTAAAGAAAAAAAATACAAATGAATAAAAAGATGAAAATGCTTCTTCTCACAGCAAAGTTCAGGACGAGTTCAGTAAATCTTTCAGCCTCAGGAACAAGTTTGGTGGTACAGCAGCAGATACTTGTGTTTATCTGCCAGATGGCAGCGTGAGTGTGTGTCGTCTTTAAATATCTTTCAGAATTTTATAAAAATAGCAGCCTAGTTTCATTCCTGGGAATCTTGAGAATGGAGGTCAAAGCAAATAGATGCAGTTGGTGGTTGAAAAGTTTTTTCTCATCTTTGTGAAGAAAAAACACAAAAATTCCACTTTTAGTGGTTTGTTGGTTTTTAAAAAATGCTGAGATCCTTTCTGATTCAAAGGCACTTTTCAGAAAAATATGTCATATTGCACATTACGTTGCACTTACACATGTAAGCAAGCAACCAAAAATTGCAGATACTAATTCTGCAGAAATCAAGCTAGAAGTGGGTCCATAAATTGCAACAGATAGTTTAGGTAAAAATGTTTAATTGTGGTTTAACAGGGTCTGAACTCTTGACTCTTTGGCTTTCTTGACTCGTCAGACTTATTCTTACCTCGAGACCCCGGTGTGGTGAGATCTCATGCCAAAATGCAGAAAATAACATCCCAGTTGTATTAAACCCAACATAACCCCATAAATTCCTGCTTCGGTGGACACACAGTACCTCTCCGTCTTTGGACTCCAGTCGCAGCTCGCTCCTGCAGATGGCCTGGATGTCTCCGGCCTCAGCCAGGATCTGGATTCCCTTCGGGGCCTCCATCAGCAGAGAGCGGGTGGGAGACTCCAGCCTGGAAACATACAGAGGCAGGAGCTTACTAACGGCAGGTACAACGTTCAGGGTGAGGGGCTGAAGTGAACTCTAACAGGGTAAGGAAGAGCACCGATTCATGTATGATGGGTGGTGAATAGTTTACATGATACATATGGCACAGGAGCCTTGAAGGTTTACATGGAAACCAAGCACCAAGTTAACAGATGTATCAGAAAATAAAGGTTAAATTCAGCAGTTGTATAAGTTCTATTAGTAAATACACCCACAGCCAGTGCTCATCAGTATCAGACTGAAAGTGGAAACGTTTTAAAAACTTGATTCACGTCAAACTAACATATTTATGTAAGGAAATCTGCTCATTAGACTACTGCATTACAGACATTTACAGCATTACTTTTACCAGTAAATATTTGTTTCTATGAATAAACAGTTGTATAGAATTATGTGAAGGCCGTTTTGGGTACGTGGAGCATCTGTTCAGCTAACAGAAAAACCAAATGAATGTTTTATCCACTTCTATTTGTGAATGACAGTGGAGGTTCCAGACCTCTGAATCGCTGCTAATATGTCTTCAATTCCTTCAATGATCTTAAATTATACCAACATTTGTTTTATACCTAATTCACCAAGACGTCAACAATTTGTAGTTGGAATAAGCCACAGGTTTCAAGATGTCCAGAAAAGTTACAAATTGGGAAAAAAGTTGAAAGTGGATGTAGAGTACTGTGCTCTCTCTATGTTTTGCTTCCAAGTGTTGAGTGAGCAACAGTGGTCAAGCCAAATATTGACTTTCAAGCTTGTTAGAATTGTACAAGCTCTGCTTTTGCCTTTTATCCTCTATTTCCATCTGTGTTTGCACACGTTTCATGTTCTTCTAGCTAAATATTTAAAACATGAGGGCTAAATCAAGACTTGTGCACACAGTACTCTATTACCCATTTTTGTATGTCTTTGCGGTTCCTCCACAGTGACCTGAACTTACGTGTAATGAAAAAACAAAAACAGTCTGAAGAATTGAAGAAAAACGTGAGAACAGCCACTCTGAAACCAGTGCTGTGAATGGAGCACAAAGTAAGTGGATCTGACACTCGAACACTACGGTCCCTCTCTGCATGCTGTGGCTGTTCAAAATTTCTGCATGAGGATTAAAAAAAAATCAGCCCACTCGGCTTCACATCTTGACAAAACCACTCAGAGGCACAAGCCGATCTCTACAGGAAGCTGCAGAGATGTCAGAACACCTCACGACAGTCAAACCTAAACAGGAGCGCTCTGTACACTTCCTGTCTTCCTGTCACCACGCTGGTTGTGGATAAAATACGTGATGGTTTTTTTTCCACATGGAAGGTTTTAGCTGATACCACAACGAGAGAATGCGAGGTTTTGTTCTGAATGAAGCGTAGCTAACGAATACTTGGATTCTTTGCAGTCAGCGACTGCCTGAAGTCTACAAATGATGGACATCACCAAATGTTGAGTTTCCTCGCTTGATGTTCTCCGTCAGGCTTTGACTGTAGTCACCCACAGTTGTTCCCTGTCTGTGGGTCTCTCTGCATTCTGTTTGCTATTTAATAATGCAAAACCTGCTCTGCTGGATACGAATCAGACGACAAACGTGACAATCGAAGAATATCCCATTTCTTTGCATTGAGAAACTCATGGATTGGATCTTTTGACACAAAAGAATCCAAAACCATGGATCTTTAGCAGTTTGTTTTGGGTCGTTATTTGCTGTCTGATCAGGTTTGCTCTGTTTTCTGAGTCTGAGCAGAGAGAACAGCTCTGTACACATCAGAAGTCATCCTGTTTCTATCAGCAGTTCCACTGGCAGCCACACATACAAACTAAATCCACCGTAACTAACAGGTGATGCAGTATACTGAGAATGTGAGTGTTTCTCTCCTACTTCATATTTTTTCACCTTGGTTTCATCTGTCCAAAGATTTTTTCCAGAACTTTTCTGAAACAGGTTCTTTTACAGGTTATCTTTGGAAAGTGTCATCTGTCCTTAAAACCAGTGGTTTGTGTTGTGAATCTTCTGTGTTCATGAGGGCGTCTCATTTATCCATAACAATGATCGGCCCACCTCTTTGAGTGTTCTTAACTTGGTTAAATGTTGTGAATGCGTTTTTGTTGGAAACAACGTTGTTATTGAGTTTAGCTGCCGTCTTTGGTCTTTCAGGCCTTTTGGTGTGGCTGGAGAGTTTATTATAAGCAGCTGCAACAACCACCTTGGGTTGGTTGTTGGGAGGCAACCTGTTTCCAAACAGTTGTGATCCAATTCAGGCTGGTAACATATTAAAAAATTCATTTATCATCTATAAATTATACACAGACTGCAAACACAACCCAGCTAACGTAATCTCTAGCAGAGGCAGTCTGTGCCGATGAGCACAGCTCAACTGCAACACAGCTCTTGGGAACAGGGTCTCGTTTCAATTGGTAACATCTAGTTGTGTTGTGGTATTCCTGTATAAATGCAAGAATGCAGCATGCCCATGTATAACTCTTCAGGTAAATTACTATCCTGCAGCAACTAAATTTCCGAATACTGTATACTGAATATGATTCAGACAGTAACAGAATTGCAAATTTTGCAAAGTTATCATAAACAGATTGCATGTAATTGCCAAACTGACCTCATTCAATTGCAAACCGATGAGAGCGACAGCTGTTTGGCTCCGCCTTTTTACTGCTTTATTATCATATGAAGACAGCAGCCGACGGGGTGGTCACAGATCCAAAGGAACCACTTTAGTGCTGCTGTCTCCAACCACTGTTTCCCCCCGTGTGGCCGTAGCTTTAGCCTCTGTGCACTCAGAGTGTTAATCTGAAGCATGTTTTCACTATTTCCTCAGCTGAGACTCTGTTTCCAAATCTTTTTTCATGCATTTAAAACCCAGATAAACATGATGTGTTGACTGGTTTATTTATTACAGCAGGGATTCTCGTTTATAAAGTAGAAAGGTAAGACAGAAACTACTCGGAGACGGCATTGCTGAAGAGTTTTTTGGCGGTGGTGGTGGAGTAAGAAACAAACCCATAAATCAAAGCTTCTATATGACTTGCAAAGTGTGATTAATCACTGGCTCTGTGCATATTTTTAGTCTACTGTAAATTACTCTCTAAAGTTTCTTTTAACTGTATTTTAAAGCTAAGATTATAACGAACTCCTCCACTCTTTAAATACACAGTCTTGAACTGGAAGTCTGTGTATCTGCTTGAACACTCCGCTTTAAGTTTAAAATGCACAAATAATTACAGGAATACTTATGTGAAAGGTGTAGAAACATCGATTGCAGTGAGGAACTATTACCCAGCTCTGCAGTTCAGCTAAGTACTACTAAACATTCACCTGAGCAAAAAACTGCAAAGTAAATTAAAAGTGTGCACACCTGTGTTTTCACATTTTTCCTTCCTGTCAAACATGATGAGAAAAGCTAGAAATAAGAAGAAAGTTTAAAAACAAATACACTATAAATTTCTGAAAATCCATATAACAGAACTCCGAAACTGTTTATATGCAATATATAAGAAATCTATATGAGAAAAATCACAACAGGGAGTAAAGTCATGCAAGTTGCATCGGTGAGAGTAACAGAGATTACAGAAGAAGCACAAGAATAAGATGGTAGATGAACCCATGTGTGCTAACAATCTCTAGATGCTGGTGTCATCCCTCGAGTTTGCTCCTGGCAACATTAATGAATAAATTCACCCGGGTGGTGACCTGCGTTCCCCCGAGAACAAAGAACACTGAGGCGCTGTACTACAGTTGCACCAGATGGAAATGTTGAAAGAGGCAAGAAAGAAAACCAGCAGCAAAGTTCACTTTAGTTTCAGAGTTCAGCGTCGGGTTATCTGGGAGGAAAGAAATTCCAGGATTTTCTTCGTTTCATGACCAAAGTAGCTTAAAGCTCTTCAAATGACAGGACGTCAGTTCAGAGGAGTTTAATATGGAGAGAAAGATAAATTTACAGTACTGACTTTTTTATCTGAGCGTACGATTGTGTTATTATTCTAAAGTCCTTCTAGAACAGGTTGTTCATTCTTGCATTAAAAATAGAAAATCCTGCTTGTGCTGATGCCACATATACTTGTTTAAAAAGAAAAGAATAAAGCTTTGTTTTCAGTTACACTTTGATAGTTTGTTGCAGTCTACTTGGTAAACGGACTGACTCTTATGTAGCGCTTTCCACACTACCTGAGCACCAGAGCACTTTATACAACATACCTCACTCCCATACATACAAAAACACTTTTTTCTATGCTTAAGTGCTTGCTGTCTAACATCCACACAGACTCACACTCCAAAGGATGCATTGGAGAGCAGCTCCGAGGATATTTGGCAAACGGGGCTCAAACCACGAGGTTACCTGCTCTACCCCATGAGCTACAGTAACTCAGCCAAGGAAAAGCAAAAATGGACACTAGCACTGGACAGTTGTTGATTGGCATTTTTTTCGGGAGGCAAGGACATGAAGACCAGTCTCAATTCCTTCTGTGGCATTCGGTGGTGAATTTATCACAAACAACATGAAAGCATAGATCCATCCTGCCTTGTAGTTTCAGGTCAGGGTGGTGGAGATATTTTTTGGATCCCACCAGCTGAGCCTCTTCAAACACCACAGCGTACCTGAGTATTGTTGGTGACCACGTCTACGTCTTTATAACTCTGTATCACAAAGCTTGGCTATCTAAAACTGGCCTCCAGAGTCACCGGAACTCAATCACATCTCTGATGTGGTGGAATGGCAGAGCTACATCGTTGATGTGCAGCTGACAAATCTGCAGCACGTGTTGGTAGTGATGCTATCATGTCAATACTGACCAAAATCTCTGAGGAATGTTTCTAGCATCGCGTTGCATTTCATAAAGACTTAAAGAAACAAGAAGGGGGTCCAACCTGGAAGTAGCAAGGTGTACGTAATGAAGTTGGTGAGAATATTGGTAATTATTTCCTATTATAATGTCCCTGACATTACCCTTGGTAATAAAGTAGTTTGATTAAACTAA